GTGCTGATTTTTATTTTGTCTTGCTCTGATTTTCACCCCTACTCACAGCAGAACCAGAAGCTACTGACCTCCCCTAGTCTGGGCCTCAAACAATCCCAGAAGAACATGTCCAGAACCACCTATCACCAGTTTCTGGGATGCATCTGACATGCACATGCAGGCATTCAAAAAACATCTCCTGAATCCTATACCAGATCAGCCAGGTTCCCTGTCTAAAGGATAGCACCAAACAATCCCAGCTGACCCTGTTCCCATCTTTGCCACACTGGGTTGTGCAATGGGACACTTAAGTTACCCTGAGCAATATACATTCCTTTTCATGCCATGTAGGAGGCAATCTATGGGGGGGGGGGAATCCTACGGTCTCCTGCTGCAATCTACTGGCCTATTTGCCACATGGTTAAAAAAACAAAACAAGAAAACCAAGAGCAAAACACCAACAACCCACAGTTGCCATGGAAACAGAAGAAGAAGAAGGCGGGAGCCAAACATAAGCCTGGATTGTTGGAGGAGGCATGTAACTTGCATATGTAAGTCCTCAAGGTTTGGAAAGACTTGTGGTTGAGATCTTGGAAAGCGCCAATTAAGAGTATACAATACTGAGTTGGATGGATTAATGGTGTAACTCAGCAGAAGACATATTCAATATGTTGCATGTCAAAGTCCTCTAGAGCAAGAAGCACTGTGCAGCTTCAGCAGTCTCTCCAAAACAAAGGGCCTCAGGTAATGGAATGCATTCTATACAAACAGGGTTCACAGTCGAGTGCCCAGCTCAATGCAGACCACTGGGAGCTCAATAACTCCCTCGCCTTTTGCTGCTCTCCTAGAGCTGCAAAAACTAGGAGTGGAGGCTTCAATCCATGGTGGTAGACTGTGTCGGCTTGGTGGCATGGCCTGTATTAGCCAGTGGATTTGGATTCCTCTGAGGAGGTAAAAACAAACCCCATCCTAACAATATTCTGCCTCCTCCTCCAGCAATCGCACTCCTGAATTAAAATGCAGAGGCCAAAGGCCTTCCAATAGATCTTGTGTTAAAAACTGCAGCATAAAGGCTGGTCTTGACCCTCGTCTAATTCCAAATCATTATGAGACAAGAGGACCAATGGATACTAATGCCAAAGGAGTCCTTCACCTACCACCTTCAGTAAATCACATCAGAGCTGCTGTAGTGTATAACAATCTCTTACTTTCTCAGCCGCACTCTCTTTTGTGCTGAGAAAATCTGAATGAAGTAAGGAGCACTTTCTGCACCAACCTCTGAGCTAGGGAAGAAAGACTCGTTACAGAGATGGAGCCTCTTGTGCCAGAACGCGGAGGTATGAGTGTACTTCATCCACAGTTGACTGTATGGCACACTTCTCTCTTGATTTATATGCATTTACAGAGAATGTGAAAATAAAGGAGCGTTCCCCCCCACTGTTTGTCTGCCAACACATTCGTGCTTGCATATACCATGTACCTTTTATGAAGGAAGTGATATTTTAGTATGAGTATTCAGCTGAAAGCTCACACCATTTCCCAGGAAAATTGTCAACCAAATTGAAAAATGTTACCTACTTTGGACACTTTCCAGACCGTCTTGGGAAGATGTTAGCTACTTTATTTAGCTTGCCATCACCTGTTCTGAGTTGTGCATGTGCCCTTAAGAGACATGCACGCCACTAAAACTGGCTGCTTATGACGGTACATACTGACATCCCATAACAACATCACAGATGTACTGCCCAAATGTCACCCTGCTTATTGCATCATCCCTGATTGGGTAAGATCACCCACATGATTAATTCAAGAAGAGGAAAAATTAGCAGCCATGGTAAATCCATGCTACTGAAAAGGATTTTTAAAGGGATGTTTGTATATTTTCAAAGTGTATAGCCCAAATCCAGATAAAGTCCACCATGCTTAAGTCCCACTGAAATAAATAACAAGTTGGGTCATTTATGTCCCATCAATTTTAGTGGAACTTTAGGGGTAACTAAGGTGGCACTCTTACTGGATTACCGTATTTTTTTGCTCTATAAGGACCACTTCCCTCCTAAAAAGTAAGAGGGAAATGTTGTGTGCGTTCTTATGGAGCAATGCAGGCTGCGGCAAGCTATCCCAGAAGCCAGAACAGCAAGAGGGACCGTGTTTTCGCTGCGCAGCCATCCTCTTGCTTTCTGGCTTTCTGGGATTCAAACAAATTTTTTTCTTGTTTTTCCTCCTCCAAAAACTAGATGCGTCTTAATGGTCCTGGTGTGTCTTATAGAGCGAAAAATACGGTAAGTGCCATTGAGCTTAAAGGGTCTCGTGTCTGAATGGACATGTTTAGGACTTGCATTGCGAATTTCGTTGAATCTGAGCTAAGTTTTTTTACCACTGCATTTCCTTGAGATATCTACTGGCAAATATTCAGTGGAGCCCTATTTAGGTTACGTTTCAATCAAAGTATTGTAAATAAGAGCAAGGGTAGGAGCCTAACAGCAAGAAGACACAGCATTTTGAGTAAGGTAAAAGAAAAACCATTTCTTTCATGAACCAAGATAATAATGCCAGTTTACTGGAGGACTGGACTGAAATAGGAGCAACTAGGAAGCGGGTGGCGCCGTGGTCTAAACTACAGAGCCTTGGGCTTGCCGAGCAGAAGGTTGGCGGTTCGAATCCCCGTGATGGGGTGAGCTCCTGTTGCTCTGTTCCAGCTCCTGCTAACCTAGCAGCTCAAAATCATGCCAAAAAATGCAAGTAGATAAATAGGTATCGCTCCGGTGGAAAGGTAAACAGCGTTTCCATGCGCTGCTCTGGTTTTGCCAGAAATGGCTTAGTCATGCTGGCCACATGACCTGGAAAAACTGTCAGCGGACAAACGCCGGCTCTCTTGGCCAGTAAAGCGAGATGAGTGCCACAACCCCAGAGTCGTTCGTGACTGGACCTAATGGTCGGGGTCCCTTTACCTAGGAAGCCAACCGGTGTGGGACCCACAATGCTTCATGTGGCATATGATTGCTGGTTCTGACAAGAGTCGGATGCCTGAAAAATAATTCTAAAAGGCCCTCCCAGAATTCTCTGTGATGACCTGGGATTCTGCACCTGAGTGCTAGGAATCACACCTCATCGCTGACCTGTTTTAAAATGCAAGCTCATTAGATGCCACTGGGATCTCCCTGCTTTTCGTGTGTGTGTGTGTATATATGTGTGTGTGTGTGTGTGTGTGTGTCCAGCCTCCTAGCAGGTCACATAAAATGGCTTGCTTTGCCCCTGACCTTTTGTGAGTCTCTCCCTCCCCCTCCCTCTCTATGTCTCTGTCACTCCCTCTCTCCAACTTGTTTTCCTCTCGCTTTCGCTCGATGCCCCAAGACACCCATGTCTTGCCTTGTTCCCTAATCCACAGGCTCAGTTCTCATGGGGACAACCTTGCCTAAGGCAGGAAAAAGACTTTCTATTAGCCCTGGATTATTATGACTGCTTCTCAGTGGCATGCGCTGCCTTCTTTTGCTCACTGATGAATATTTGCTACAATCAGCATTTTTAATGCTTCTCATCGCTGCGCCGCATTAAGAGAAAAAGCAAAAACTCAGCCAGAGGTCAGCTATAGTTCATCAGCACCGCTTCAGAAACAAGAATATATTGCATTTGCATACTTATGCTAAAACTCTGTGCTAGATTTGCGTACTTGGAAAAGTTACTCAATAGATTCCAGTATTAAAAGTCTGGGGGAGCTAGGGGGGAAAGCTGCAGTAGAATACTTTTAGCATCTTGGTTTCATTTTGCCTCTCACTTATTTTCTATCTTTCTCCCGAGGTGCTCCACTTTGTAAACACACATGTGGCCTTTTTAGGTGATTGACCTAGATTCTCTCCAGATCACACAGAGTTCAACACTTCTTTTTTAACCTGGTTTAGGCTCTGCCCACCCAAAATGGACTTCACTTCACCCACTGAGGTGACTACAGTACAAAAACACTCCAAGATCAGTGTTTGAAACATATCATGGGGAGGGGGAAATGCTAATTATTGCACTGAAAATAACGTCACAACCTAATTATATTGCATTGGCATCACAAGGATGGTCAATGCCACTTAATTTCTGTAAAATAATTACAGAATTGGGGAATCTTTTTACTCCCTCCCTTCATGCGCTAAGATTTTGCAGGTTGCATTAATCTAGTGTTTTAGTTTGACAGCGGAAACACATCGCCTCTTCTGCAGCATGAAGAATGTTTTTCTTTCCTTCTACACCCTCCGCACCTGTTCCAACGTTATCATTCTGTTATTCTGCAACCTATAAGCCAGTTTCCACTTTGCTTGGCCGTTTCTCCCCTCCTTGTGGTGAAAAAGCTCAACCATGCATCAAAGCTGACTGGTGATACAGTCCCCCCCTCCCCTGTTCACCCCCAGGGCTGTATGCACAAAGTCCCGATTTTTTATTTAATTTGCTATTTCCACATAAATATCACCTTTGACCATTTAATCTCAAAAGCAGCAACACAATGAAACAAAAAAGGTAAACTAAAATGTAAACACACATCTTTTTAAGTAAAATAAAATAAATAAAATAGAAAAGCATCTACAGTAAAAGATAGCGAATCCGTATGAGCAAAAACTCTAGAGGCAGGGCGGAATATTGTAATTGCCCTTCTAAAAGGGCCAGAACATAGGTGTGGTAGCTTTCCCCTTAAGGGGGAATTGCAGAAGCCACCACTGACAAGGCAGTGTTACTGGGTAGATGACCATTTTGGCTCCTAAGCGGTGGTGGTAATACAGATCACTTTCATTTTATTTATTTAATTTTTTACAAAAAGCTTTACAACTTAACGAGGAGAAAAGAACAAGAAACGGAAAATCGGATTCTAATTGAAAGTGGGCATGTCCACACATTCCCATACAGCAGAAAAGGTAAACACTAGTAGAACTGGCCCGGTACCTAGACTGATTCAAATGTAGGGTATCTAGAGAATGTCACATGACCGGTGTTTCCATTAGGAACATCCGCCTTGGCGTCCACCCTGAAAACTCAATACTTACTCTTGAACAGCTCTGGCTATAGAGAGAGCTGTGGATCCAGTTTCATTAACACTATCCAAGGTCACATTTGGCAGGTCGTCGTCATCACTGTCACTTTTAATTTGTCTGGGAGATAGGCCACGTGGGTCCATTTGTGCTGGGAAATAAAAGATACACAATGGATTAAAGTCAGCTTAGGGAACACCTCCAGCTAATTCTACTATATGCAACCACTGTACTCATTTCCTTTTACAGTGGTACCTTAGTTTAAGAACGGCTCAGTTTATGAACAACTTTAATTAAGAATGCTGCAAACCCAGAAGTAGGTGTTTTGGCTTGAGAACTTTGCCTTGGAATAAGAACATGTTGAGTGTGTTCCATTTGTAAACTGTCCCCTGCTGCCATGGGAAAGTGCACCTTGGTTTAAGAATGCTTTGGTTTAAGAACAGACTTCTGGAATGGATTAAGTTCGTAAACCAAGGTACCACTGTACTTAAATATTCCTACCCCACCTTTTAGGCTCATGGGCTCCCAAGCTGGCTCACATATATCTATAATCAATCCATAAAGCAATTAAGCAAACAAAAAGCAACTAAACCCTCTAACTTCATGATGAGAACAAATGCAAAACAAATGCAAAATGCATGGCGGGCATGCAAAATAGTTAAAGAATACTAGGAAATGATATATAATGAAATTTTAAAAATGTTTAAAAAACATTTCCCCCAAAACTAGAGGCATTCCTTCTGGGAACGGTACAGAGAGAAGTACCCAGGAGTCAGAATTCTTCTTTTTTTTAACGTATGCCACCACAGCAGCTCAGATCTTGCTAGCCCCCAAATGGCGGGTGAGTGAGGTCCCTAGTAAGGAGGATTGGCAATTAAAAAATGATAGAATATGCAGAGTTAGCAGGTCTAACAAGCAAAATAAGAGGGCAAGAAGATCAAGCATATACAGATTGGAATTTTTGTGTGGAGTATCTGGAAAACAATCAAAAATGCTAGCAGCATTAAGGTAAATTCAACAGTATGATTGGGGAATAAGGGGAGAAAATGAACTTAAATGGATATACAGTGGTACCTCCGGTTACGAATGGGATCCATTCTGGAGGCCCGGCCATATCCCAAAAATTTCATAACTGAGGACGCCCTTCTGCACACACGCATGGTGCGATCGAGCGCTTCTGTGCATGCGGCAAAACCTGAAGATTCTGTAACCTGGAGGTTACGCAACACAAGGTACCACTGTATAAGAATATGCAGGAATGGTGGGGAAAATCAAAGGAGCCAGGGAAGGGGAAGAAGGAAAGTCATTGAATGTTTTTTATTATAAAGAAAGATATTAACGGTGGAAATGTCTATTTGAATGCAAATGTGATTTTGGAAATGGTAATAATGAAAATTAAAAATTAAAAATTAAAAACAAAACATCACAGCGACCAATGCCAACCGACACCGGCACACTTAGGGATCCTCAGAGTTTGCGCATCATGCATAACAGATCTCAGCAACTCAGCATTTTGGGTAATCTACTTTATTTACATATAAACACACACACGGAGCACTGCAACATGGCTCCCTCTCTCTAGCATCAGACAGCAAAGAGAGAAAGAACAAATAGTCCCACTTCATGGAACACAGTAACACAAATATCCCGTCTCTGTGAAGTCAAAACATATAGCGTCATGTGATAGACAAAAATCCCATGTCTGCAATCATGGAGCAGGAATTCTAACACACTGATCTAAGAACTAGGGTTAGGGGGTGGGGTTAAAGAATTAGGCCTGCAGTTTGACCCTAAAGGTATTTTCTCTTTGCTCAATGGGCTGATTCCTATTAAGGCAAAAATGGACCCAGCAACCCCATGTCTCCTCTTCGCTCTCCCGAACACCCAGTAAACAAAGATCTAAGACGTGATGCCATCGCATTGCCATGTTCCACCTCCACACTTCATTGCCGCTGTGGGGGCAGAGGAACTGAAAGCACGATGACCTCATGCCAGGTCTTTTAATTTAGGAGGCATTAATGGGGGAGAAAGCAGGGAGGTGAGCTGAGGCGGCTGCTTCTGGCAGCGGCCCCCACACTTTATGTGAACGTCTCCCTTCAGCGCAAGTATTCTTAGAACTGCAGACAGCAATTACATCTATAGCAATTATCTGTGCTGGTACTACAGAAAACAGCCACCCCCAGGTAACCTGGGCGGTAAGAGACGTGAGGCTCCTCACAACGACAATCTCACATGACAGGCAAAATACAACACACAGCGCAAATGTGCAGCAGCAAAAACAACACCCCACCTTTTAAAAGCCACAAATCACACCTGGTAAGAATGCTACCTTTGTGTGCACATAATTAATTTCAGATTTAGGTAGCTTGACAATATGGACGATGAAAGCTTAATAAATGACGCAGCATTTACCTCTGAAGTAATAAGGTTTAAAGGGACACGGGTGGCGCTGTAGGTTAAACCACAGAGCCTAGGACTTGCCGATCAGAAGGTTGGCGGTTCGAATCACCGCAACGGGGTGAGTTGTTCAGTCCCAGCTCCTGCCAACCTAGCAGTTCAAAAGCACATCAAAGTGCAAGTAGATAAATAGGTACCACTCTGGCGGGAAGGTAAACGGCATTTCCGTGCACTGCTCTGTTTCGCCAGAAGCGGCTTAGTCATGCTGGCCACATGACCCGGAAGCTGTACTCCGGCTCCCTCGGCCAATAAAGCGAGATGAGCGCCGCAACCCCAGAGTCGGCCATGACTGGACCTAATGGTCAGGGGTCCCTTTACCTTTAATAAGGTTTAAGCAGGATTTAAATACAAGTCAGGTCAAAAAGAAATGTTAGCATAGTGCAGAAAGAACAGGAATTCCACAGCAGATGTATGTATGTGTGTGTGTTTGTGTGTGTGCACTGCCTTGTTCAGGATCTTATCAGTAGGAAGCCATAGCAGAGTCTACCCACTGAATGCCATCTTAGAAGCACAGGATTAATTACGGGACCGCCTCTCCTGGTCCCACGGAGGACCTAAAGGTCCATAAATAACAACACTTTGGAGGTCCCAAGCCTCAAGGAGGTTAGATTGGTTTCAACTAGGGTCAGGGCCTTTTCCACAGTGGCTCCGATGTGGTGGAACACTCTGTCACAAGAGACCAGGGCCCTGCCAGTGTGGTGTAGTGGTTAAGAGTGGTAGTCTCGTAATCTGGGGAACCGGGTTTGCGTCTCCGCTCCTCCACATGCAGCTGCTGGGTGACCTTGGGCTAGTCACACTTCTCTGAAGTCTCTCAGCCCCACTCACCTCACAGAGTGTTTGTTGTGGGGGAGGAAGGGAAAGGAGAATGTTGGCCGCTTTGAGACTCCTTCGGGAGTGATAAAGCGGGATATCAAATCCAAACTCTTCTTCTTCTTCAGGATTTGACATCTTTCCGCAGGGCCTGCAAGACGGAGCTGTTCTGCCTGCCCTTCGGCTTAGACTCACTCTGATCCCTTATATGGGATTTGGTATATAAAATTTCCCTTGGCTTTTTTGCTGGCCCATGTATGACTAGCATGGATAACTGGCTCGGGTGAATATCTGATGTTTCCTCCCTGTATGGTCTTGATTTATGGGCTACTACTAAAATGAGGCTGCATTTTAAGCTGTATTTTAAGCTGTATTTTAATTGTTTCTTTGTTTGTTTTCTATTAAGTTTTATTGTAATTCATATTTGGTGTTAGCTGCCCTGAGCCCGGCCCTGGCCGGGGAGGTAAAGGTAAAGGTACCCCTGACCATCAGGTCCAGTCGTGACTGACTCTGGGGTTGTGTGCTCATCTCGCTCAAGAGGCCGGGAGCCGGTGCTTGTCCACAGACAGCTTCCGGGTCACGTGGCCAGCGTGACTAAGCCGCTTCTGGCGGACCAGAGCAGCACACGGAAACGTCGTTACCTTCCCGCTCCCCGCCGGAGAGCGGTTCCTATTTATCTACTTGCACTTTGAGGTGCTTTCGAACTGCTAGGTTGACAGGAGCTGGGACCAAACAAGGGGGGCTCACCCCGTCGCGGGGATTCGAACCGCCGACCTTCCGATCAACAAGTCCTAGTCACCGTGGTTTAACCCACAGCACCACCCACGGTCCCTGGCCGGGGAGGGTGGGGTATAAATAATTATTATTATTATTATTATTATTATTATTATTATTATTATTATTCCCTAGAAAGGGGTTTGATTTATTTTTATTGAACCCTGTGGTCCACTACAATGCAAAATGGTGGCTCAGGGGGACCTGCAATGTCTCTGAGCCTGTGCTTGGTCCAGTAATTTGTTTTCAGAACAGTTCTTTCAGACAAAAATCCACTTCTGGTTTTCCCCAAAGCTTTTCAGTAAACCAAAAATGGGATAATTTTATATATATATAAAAGCAGAGACATCACCTTGCCAACAAAGGTCCGTATTGTTAAAACTATGGTTTTCCCAGTAGTGATGTATGAAAGTGAGAGCTGGACCATAAAGAAGGCTGATCAAGGAAGAATTGATGCTTTTGAATTATGGTGCTGGAGGAGAGTCCCATGGACTGCAAGAAGATCAAACCTCTCCATTCTTAAGGAAATCAGCCTTGAGTGCTCACTGGAAGGACAGATCCTGAAGCTGAGGCTCCAATACTTTGGCCACCTCATGAGAAGAGAAGAGAAGACACCCTGGAAAAGACCCTGATGTTGGGAAAGATTGAGGGCACAAGGAGAAGGGGACGACAGAGGACGAAATGGTTGGATGGTGTTCTTGAAGCTACCAGCATGAGTTTGACCAAACTGCGGGAGGCAGTGGAAGACAGGAGTGCCTGGCGTGCTCTGGTCCATGGGGTCACGAAGAGTCGGACACGACTAAACGACTAAACAACAACAACATTGTCCAGTAGCACCTTAGAGACCAACTAAGTTTGTTCTTGGTATAAGCTTTCGTGTGCATGCACTCTTCTTCAGATACACTGAAACAGAAGTCACCAGTCCCTTATATATAGAGAGTGGGGTGTGGTTTTTCTCAGGAGGGTAGTAGGAGATGGGTGATTGACTCAATGGGTATGGTAAACCTGTTGATGACTGTTAGCGACTGCAATTAGTCCTACAGGGAAAAGCATGGGATAGTATGCAGATGATTAGCATATGTAATGAGACAGGAATCCAATATCTCTATT